TCTGTTATTGCAGGATTGCTGCTGGAGGAAATCGGACTACTTGGGCAAATTTGTCAGTTTGTGTCGATTTTGATGTAAATGAGTCTTTGAATGAATTATTTTTCTAGTATCAGTTATGTTGAGATATTGATTATTTTGATCATGTGATAGGGACATCAGACATCTCCTCTGTAGGCTCTACCTTTGATTCAGAGGCAAGTTGTTAATTCAACGATGGCGTGCTGCATCGTTGAAAAGTCACAGAAGGCGTAAACTCACACACAAAACAAAACGTACAAATTAGCGTAGTGTATGATGGAAAACAAAGACTGGCCATGTTGAAGCGACTACGTCAGGCACCTTTGGTTTCTGGGATGAAATGTTTGTTCAGTTTTCTTTCTGTGACATTTGAGAGCTTCACAGATGTGAGATTTTTATCAGTAACATTTAATTTTAGGAAAAGCAAATTAGAGATGGTTAACTATCTTATTTTTTTTGTATTTTACAGAAGCATTGACTAACGTCTTATTTTGTTGGAGTCTATCCATCCATCCATTTTATTTTTATCCCTGCTAAATCTTTAAAGGGTTGCCGTGGTGAGCACATTCATACCCAAGGCCTGTTTTTTACGGTTATTACAGTAACCATGTATTAAAAATTACAAGATTTTTAAATTTTCTCAGTGTAGAACACCTGAAAAAAAATGTTTTTTACAACCTTACGTAAAAAACATAAATAAATACTGACTTAGTCAAAACAGACTTTCAACATCCCTCCATCTTTTAATCAGTTTGAATGTGAGTTCATGGGGGCAGCGTTAGCTCGGTGCTAACCTGGATTTCCTCCAATCAGAAAGTGTCGCTGGTGAACCGTGGCTCTTCTTAAAGCCACGTTTTACACATGTGGAAAACTCACGGCTGGTCAACACGCTGCGGTGCGGTTTCAGCAGGGCTTGTGCTGCTTTACGGGGTTAACAGTTTGGTGTTTCCCTGCAGCGTGAGCCTCTGTCATCACCATCCAAACACCTTTCCCCACTGCAGAGAAAACCCGGCCTCATTTCATCTCTGGAGTCTCTGTTGCCTGCTTCGGCTTCTCTTACGAGCCGCGCCGTCTCTCCTTCTCAGCAGTTGGATCTAACACTTTTGACACACAGGACTATCACTCCCTTTCAATCTGCTCACTCTTTTTCACGCTCTCCGTCTCTTAAGGGGATGCCGCCTTTCTTTCTTCACAATTGGTATTTCATTAAGGACTCTCTGGCGCAGTCTTTAAGGGGACGGAGCTCCTCTGTGATATTCTGTGTTTATATATTCTCTGTTACAAAAAAAAATGGATTCGAATGATTATATTTAAGCCCATTTTGAAGCACGCCTTTAAAAGAGAGAGAGAGGTACATGCCAGCTCCTGACAGGAGGAAACATGCAGCCATCTGTCTCCACAGCATGCTCAGTATAGCTTAGGTCAGTGAGGAAAAAGCTTTAGATTTTAATAAAGTGGACAAAGTGAGGCCTTTCAAAGTAAGAGTTTAAGATACTGTTTTGCTTTTAGCTGCTGAAGACGTGTAAAAACAGTGTAATTGATGGACAGTGTTACCAAACCGTCATGGCGAAGTACCAACTGGTTTTTTTAAAAATTTGATTTACAATTTTATCTTGTGCTTTTAAGCAATAGCTGATTGTTTTATTTAAGTTGGCAGTGATATATATAGGGAAACTAAAAACTTATTTCAGAAACCTCACCTACACTGATAAATATATTCTAAAACGTGACTTTTGTAAGACTGCTGATTTTTGTCTTATTCTTTTTTTTTTCCTCTAACAGCTACACACAAAGAAAATATATAGTGGCATTTTAAATATTTATTCTTATCTTGCTGCTGTGATCGGTTATTGATTGTATGCATTTAATTCAGTTAAATTTTTGTTTTAAATCATGTTTAAAACATGAACATAACTCAAAGTCCTTCAAAAGGTGAGACGTAACGATAGAAATGATCATAATAGAAAGATTAAATTAAAACACAGCAGAGCTACAGTACAGAAAAGTGAAACCACAGGCTACATCAGCCGATGAAACCGGTAAAAAAAAAAAAAAAAAAAGATGAATAAGAAGAAAGACATCACTTCGCACTTGTTGTATAAGAGAGTAGCCACTGTCGAACAAAGTTTTGATAAAATTGCTAATGATTTCCAGTGGATTCCTCAAGTGTTCACTTGTCGGTAAATATTTGTTCTGTTCCTTTTATTGCTGTCCATTCACTGCCTTTTTCTTGGAGTTTATTACGCAGAAGTAGGATTCTCTGTAGGTTTTCTTGCCCAACATTTGCGTTGTTGTTGTTGCCAAACCAATAGCACTCAGGTTGCGGTTTGATTTCTGCTGATTACGTCTCCAATCGAAGAGTTTTTGTATACAAGCTGTTACTGTTGCACCTCTCAGAATCACCAAATCACTTTATCTTGCAGCACAAACCAGTTCATTCATTACATTGTCACTGATGTAGAAACTCAATAGTCGACATTACACATCTGTTTGTGAGCGGAGTAGTTTGGATTAATGATGTTTCTCTGCTTGTTCAATCATTTCTCCTTCAGACTCCTGACAGCTTCAAGCAGAAAAGAGCACAACAATAAATCAAATATAGATCATTATTGTGATACTTACAATCATAAGTCTTCACTCGTTATCTCTGCTTTGTGTTCTTTCAACTATACCTGAGAAGTCATTGTGTTAATCTTCCATTCATTACATTTTTCCTCACCCAAAAACGTATGTACTTTACTTTAATATTTGTGGAAGTTCTCCGTAAACATTTCTAGTCCCACTTTTTCCCTGGCATGCTCTCTGCTCCATCTACTGGCCACCGGCGTGTACTGCGGGCTGGCTCGGCTGTTGCTAGGGACAACTGCTTCTTGAAGAACTGAGTCATCTGGCAGCAGGGAACGGTTGCTGCACATGCAGGCTTTGCATGGACCCTAATTTGAGAGATACGGCATTAAAAAAAAAAAAACTGAAATGTGGGTAAAAAGAATAGAAAATATTGGAAAACTAATAATCCAATGAAACCGACGTCGCTTGATCCAAGTTGTCTTTGAATTTCCCCCTCAAACACAGACCTCGAAGCTGCTTCAGAAAATGTGAATCACCCCGGTGTCGTGTCGGAGCGATGCATCCTGGTCGTTTTGCTCAGGTCTGGCCTGTTGAGGCTCGCAGCGTGGCCTTTAACTGAGGCTGTTAAAAATCCATTGAGGAAATGAGTGGCTCGGCTGCCAATGCTGTGTCTCTAAATAAATGACCTCTTACTGGAATTAGCAACAAACCTGGAAAGAGTCGGGGTGGAAATCACAGGGAAATGTAAAAAATTTAAATAATAAAAAAAAAAATGGCATAAAAGTCAGGACAAGAGAATATACAGTTAAGAAAGGTTTCTTTAAAAACCCAAAATACTGATTATTTTGTATGAAGCAATGTCTGAAGATGCCTTCATCTTGAAAATGTGGCACTTAAATTATTTTATTCTTGTTGGGCTCAAACTGACATTTTTATTTTTTATTTTTTGCAATCTTGATGTTTAAAATTGAAACATTTTAAACATTCTGCACTACAAAATACAGTTAAATTGGCTTTTATTAACCATTTAACAAGTAATTAATAAAATACCACTATATTAACCATTTTTGCCTTGAAACTGTGTTCAATAATCCATGGAATGAGTCATTTGTCTTGTCCTATAACAGGAAGTTCTTTATGACATTCAAATAAACCGCGACGGTGTTCATGTACCTCCGTTCATCTTATAAAGATTTAATGTGCATAGTTGTAAAATGAAAAGAAAATTGTACTCATCTTTCAAAATGTTATTGAAATAGAAACGTAAAATGTTCTTCACAAGTTTGTAAACACTTCTCCCCAAGTCAATACTTAAGTAAAACTTTATTTTTAAACTACATTTGTGTAAAGTCTACACAAATGTACCTTTAAAAATATTATTCAGTCTACAGACATATGTGTCCCATTGAAGCTGCATTATGTAACTTTTATTTATTTATTTTTTTAAAGTGTTTTTACATATTTGTTAAAACCGTCACTATGTTGTGACAGTTTAGTATAATACGAAAAATATTTGGGGGGGGGGGAGAATCAAGCTCTTTCACCTCCTCCTAGGAATGCACCACTTCCAGTCAGAAACAACCAATCAAAGCCAGACGGAGTCTTGGCGCTGTCAATCACTCTCATGTACGTGCTGCTAAATCTGACAATGGCGAAGAAACAACTTACAGTTGATCTGCCTCCATCGGTGGCCATGCTAACTAGCCTTAGCATTCATGGCAGGCTCTGCTGTCTGGAAGAAACTGTAGCATAGCAGAGAGGAAGGAGAAGGGTTGAGCGGCTCATATACAGGCATGATTGACAGCACTAAGAAACCACTTCCTGGCTCTGATTGGTTGTTTCTTCTGTTTTAAAGTGCTGAAATGTGAAATGTTGCACATTTCAGTGCTTTGTTGCTAAAATGTGCGGCACGAATAAACTTGTGTTGACTAGTAAAGTAAAATTAAATAAATAATCATATCTGGAGGGAAATGGCAAAAAAGGAACAAAATAGATTTTAAATGAGTACAACCATCAAAAACAAGACGGATCAGAAACGGTACAAAGCAAACATTTTGAAAAACGAAGGCTAAAGTGCCGTTTTTAGTCATCTTCAAACTTTGTGTGTGACCTCCAAACTGTAAAAACAAAAAATTGCTCCACTTAATTCCAAAATTCCAGTAGAGATCTCTTTGCAGAAGTGTTATCTAAAGATCACATTTTCCCGTTTCCAAGAACCTAAGTTTTCCTGAAAGACTGGAACAGGAATGAATCTGAACGCTCAAGTGACTGAATTGCAAAGACTAATACCAGTCGTCATGAAGACGAGGAATGTTGCAAGTCAGTCGTATGGAAAAAAACTTGCAGTTGTACCCGGTGAACCAACAGAACCACTGACAAAGTACCGCTCTCACTTTTTTCTTGTGTTTGTGCAGAATTCTGTCGTCTGTGGGGTCTCAGCTTGATCTGAGGACGCTCCGAGCTGTCAGAGTGCTGCGGCCGCTAAAACTGGTGTCTGGAATTCCCAGTGAGTTGTGACTGATTTATTTTTATTTCTAACATAAAAAAAAATTAAACCAACATCCAAAAAAGGACATTTCCATTTCCGTTGACCTGATTACGCATAAGCTGCCCAACATTTAGTTAACTATTACCTTTACAGCTGAGGTTACAAGGATTTAGGCACTTTAGTGGCATTTTCTTGGCTCAGCTTTACCCCCATCTTTAGTCAACAGTCAATACGTAGAGATTTAAACACTGGATACGTTGGAGAATTGATAAAATGGAGTAATATGCCTTACCTCACTGCAAAGGTTTTCCCCTATTTGAACTTCCTCTTGGTGTTTTTGTTCCAAACTTCTTCTGAGTATTTCTCACTGTCATCCAGGCCTGCAGGTGGTGCTCAAGTCCATAATGAAGGCCATGATCCCCCTGCTTCAGATCGGCTTGCTGTTGTTCGTGGCTATCCTTATGTTCGCCATCATTGGCTTGGAGTTCTACATGGGGAAATTCCATAAAACCTGTATCGATCCCGTTACAAGTAAGCAGGAAGTGAAAATGAGAAGTAACCGTATCCATCATTGTTCTGTCCTCGCAGGCGTACTGGACTATGCAAGACAGATGGCTAAAACAAACAAACAAACAAAAAACTTAAGGCGCTGATTGTGTTCTGAGCTTTCATGTAAAAAAAGACGAACATTTTGAACATCTTAAATACATATTTGGTCCAAAAATAAACATATAAATAAAAGAAAGCGGTGTGAAGCGCGTCAAATGAGCATGTTGCGGATTTAAGCCATTTCCGTATACTATTAGAAATTTTACACGGATGGCTGCGAATGTGTTAGGACACATTGAACGCGGCTACGCTAACACAAAAACATTAGAAACAGCAGATAAACTTAATTATTTTATGTCAAACATTCTAGTACAATAGCATACGGCTACTTCCGAACAAAGATACGTCAAGGCTCAAACAATATGGTGGAAACACTGTCCCTCTGCCACGCTGTAGGCAGAAACGCTGGTCAGTGACTTTTAACGAAAACAAAACCTAACTTAAATCCTGCCACAAGGGGGCAGTAAATCAGCAGAAGATTAATGCAAACTTTTCTATGCAACTCTTCTGAGTATCATAATACAGTCATCAAAAAAACATATAAACACTGTACATTTGGTCCAATGTGAAGACACCTAGAGACCAGTTGGTTAATTTCCTTTGAACCTTATTTGCTAGTTCTTTGTAAAACTGATTCATACATCTTAAGCTTTCTCCCCATTTCTTTCTTTCTTTCTTTCTTTTTTTTACAACTACAAACTTCAGTATGTTTTCAGTGGAATTGTTATGTGAAATGAGATCTAAAGAAATTGAAGCAAAGGGTCTAAAACAAATTATCGAGTCAGTTTTTGACAATTGCATGCCACTTTTTTGTTTGCACTCTTCAATCGTGTTACTTTGTGTTTGTCTGACACATAAAATTCCAGTGAAATATGTTGTGATGTTTGAGTTTGCATCTTGAGAAAATGAGAAAAAAGATAGTGGTAGGAATGTTTTTTTTTTTTTTTATGCAGTGTCCAACATGCTGTAAAAAGTATTCGACCACCCAACCCCTACGTACATATTTTGTTTTTTTGCGCTTTTGTCAGACTTAAATAATTTATATTAGGAAATAAATGGTAATGTCAGCACCTTCAGACTAGCCAGCAGCAATTAGCAATCACTTGGTGGAACTGTTATCTGCTGAGCTCATTATAGGAGCAACTTCTCAGCTGGTAAAGACGTTGTTAAAGGGTTAATTGAAGGAGCCATGTTGTGATAACTTCCTGAAGGCGAAGTTTCAGAAAGAGCAGGAGATTTAAAGAGACAGAGGCCCAATTTCAAGGCGATGAGTTACAAAGTTAAATTTCTTTTGAGTTGCATTTGGCATATATGCCGTTTTCATAACAACTGAAGGTAACATTGTTTGTCTTTCGTCCCTCTCTACCCAGGGGAGGATGTGGATTCTCGGCCATGTGGTCTCAAACCACCCTCCAGATTGTGCCCCAACGACTCATTGTGTGAATCCGGCTGGATCGGACCAAACTACGGCATCACTCAGTTTGACAACATCCTGTTCGCTATTCTGACAGTCTTCCAGTGCATCACTATGGAAGGATGGACAGAGATGCTCTACTTTGTATGTCTAAAAAACAACTGAGCTAAACTTTTCTTTAAACAAAGAAATGCACATAAATTTTAAACAAGCCCTGAAGGTTTTATTTCCAACCAGCCGCTCTGCATATTTTTGAACTACTTCCAAGATTCTGGGAAATAAATAGACCAACAATTTATGATGTCTTTCTAAAACTATTCTGATCTGTTTTTCTCAAATTCTTTAGCTTTGACAAAGTACTTAACATTTTTTGACCACTACATCTCCTCTACACATCATTTGTGGACTAAGAACAGAATGTACTTTGGAAAATTAACAACATCAAAGCCTAAACACTCAAAACAAACTATTTACTTGTTTTAGATAATGTAGACATGTTATATACGCAGAATCCTGAAAAAAAAAGTCAAATAAAATTGGAAAAACGACAATTTTGACTCATAAAGTAAGTTTTAGTTTCACATTTTTCCTGAAAAAGATCTTAAATGTTCTTATCAGTATTTGCAGTGGTATCACAGCAATATCCGTCATTAAAACAGAATCTGGTGATATTTGGATGGAATCTCAAAGATATGTGAAAATAGGAGTTTAGTTTAGATTTCTTATGTCTAAATGAAAAAGTAAATTAAGATCGTGCTTAAAGACTTTATCCAAAATGTATTTCCCCATCTTTCCTCGTTTTCGTCAGCTCGACCTCTTCTCATCTGCCCTTTTCTTGCTGTTAGAGACCGTCCCTCGCCCCCCTTCCTCACCTCCCTTTCTTCAGGTCCCTATTCTGGTCCGTCTATATTTAACATCTTTTCTGATGGATGAAGCCTGACTTCCACACTCACGCATGCAGTCAGGAGGGAACCGATGAAAGTTTAATAGCCATGTGGCAGCCTGCATTGTGCCATCTGGATAAAGATGAACCTGACACATGCACACAAACACACCAGCAGGTGACAGATCCATGTAGGGAGTTTCATTTAAAGAAATAATAATTAAAAAAAAAAGAGGAAAAACGATATCGCCATTAAGGTCATTTTTTTTTGGATTGTCAGTTGAGTTTGTTTAGTGGTGGAGGCAAATGTAAGTCATTGTGTTTGCGTTCACGATGAGCAACTCAGTACAACAAATGAATGCAAGTGAAAAATTTGCTGCAACACGACACTGGACAAACACTGTTTTTTTTCTAAATTAAAAGAGAGCCCCTTCTTTCAGGTTTATTTGTACTTAAAAAAAAAAACTATGTATACGCAAAATCAACACGTCTGACATCTGTTGTAAAATGTAATTTATTGCTTTTTACGCTCTGCAAACTTTGTTATATTTCTATTTTTCGAAGGGTTTTGATTACAGTGAGGAGGGAGTTGATTCTTGTAAAATAAGACGGACTATGACCCCTCTCAAAAAGCGAAAGTTGAGGGAAACCTTCTGTCGGTAAACGTTGTGAAAAGGGAAACAAACGGTTTCAAAAGCTGGATTGAAGCGCCCCCTGGTGTGTAGAAAATGATGCATGGTTGGCTCAAAACATTCGTTGACAAACGGCACCTAAAGAAAGTTGAGGACAAAACGACCAAAACTAGAAATATTGAAAATATTTGATGGTTGATAGGAAGCCCATGAAATTTTCCATCTCTACTTGACATCAGACCTAAACAATCCAAATCAAAGCAGAGACGTTTTGTCCGAACCCAACCCAACTTCCCACGTAAACGCAACATACGATTGCTAATAAGCTTCCAGTTTAAAATGCTTACTAGTGTCATTCTCCTGTGTTTTGCTTTTGTTTAACGTCTTCCAGCTCCAGTTTGTCTCTTGTTGTAACCGCCGGATGAGTAAAGGGAGAATCATCTGGGATGTGTGATTGATAGGAGCGGAGCAAAATGGGGCCACATGCATTTAAACCTATTGGCTCATACTGATCATGTCAAACCAAAGAAAGCCACTAGAGTTTTTGTTCCAGAGGAAAGCTTTGAGATTACACACCAAGTTTCATGCCCCATGTGAAACCTGAAATTGCTGAATCCTTCATGTGGCTTTTCTCTCGTAGAGCAACGATGTGGATGGCAGCATGTGGAACTGGATGTACTACATCCCCCTCATCATCATCGGCTCCTTCTTCATGCTCAACCTGGTGCTGGGTGTACTTTCAGGGTATGGCCTGAGCTCTTTCAACCTGTTGCCCTTCGAGCAATTTCCACATTTCCTTTCCACGATGCTTCTGTGTACTTTGTGATGAGCAAGAGAGAACATGACGTAAAATGTTCCCCGCAGTGAATTTGCCAAAGAGAGGGAACGGGTGGAGAACAGGAGCGAGTTCCTCAAGCTGAGGCGGCAGCAGCAGATCGAGCGAGAGCTCAACGGATACTTGGAGTGGATCTGCAAAGCGGGTCAGTTCATGCTGATGGACAACGTTTCATTCATACGCACAGCTCCGGCTGCTGGATTTACATCTGCTACTCCTTCACTTTTTGCAGAGGAGGTGATTCTGGCTGAGGAAGACGCCACGGGAAACTTTGATGGTAACTGATTGTCTTTTTTTGTTTTTTTAAGAGTATTTTTGCTCCTCCAGAGCTTTGTCAGATTATAGCAATTTAGAATAACCACGGCATCAAAATGTGTCGTTTTGTTGGAGTTCTGACTCGTTATTTAAATGTGGAGACAAGTGAATAAATGTAGCACGTGTACGTCAACAAGCGACAGACTGTGGGAGTGAGACTGACATTTCAGAAAATAGAGGGATGAATAACCAGTCTTCCTTTCCTGTGTGTCGCTAGGTTCGAGACGAAGGCCGACCATCAAAACCAGAAATAATAAAACAGAGCTGTTGAATCAAGAGGAAGGAGAGGACAACATAGGAGATGCAGTAGGTAAGGAAAATGGAACAATGGTAGTACACATTTCATAACTTTATTAATCATTTTAGTTGTGATGCTTTAACAGAATTTAAAAAGCTTTGATGGAGAAAAGAAGCGTTTGTGAAAGTTTAAAGTAGTTTTTTGTTATCTTTTGTGAATGATTCACCGGATGTTTCATAAACTGTTGATGATGAGTTTATGGGTTGCCGTTTGTAAAGTTAGCCCTACTTAGAAATGTCACAGATTCAAAGTAAAAACACAATTAAGAAGCTATGTATTTAGCTTCAAGCTAACTAAATATTTAGCTAACAAGCTAAATATACAGCTTCAAGCTACATATTTGACCTCAAGCTAAATTTTCTAGTTGAAAATTAAACATTTGGTTTGTTAACATGGTAAATATTTGTCCTCAAAGTAAATACTTAGTGTGCGGCTAAATATATTTAGCGCTAATCTAAATATTTAGCTCAGTGCTTGTCTTTATATTTAGCTTAATCTAGCTCAGTTTAGCTAGGTTAGCTAGCTTAGTCAGAAGCTCAATGTTTAGTTAATTAACAAGCTAAATACTTAGCTTGAGGCCAAAATATGTAGCTTGCAAGCTAAATATTTAGTCTATAATATTTTATTCTAAGCTAAATATTTAGTTTGAACCTTAATATATAGTTTGTAAGCTAAATATTTAACAGCATAGTTAAATATTTAAACTGTGACATTTATAGTTGAAAGCTAAAATATAAATGTGTAGTTTTAGTTAATGTCAATGAGTAACATTCGTTCACATTCATTCATGGTGAAATGTTGCTCATTTCACCATGACTAAATAACATGGTGACACTATGACTGAAAAATGAACTCCCATTTTGTTTTCTGATGACAGGCTACATAACCCAAATTATTGCTGTCATTTTGTTGACTGTGTGACTTTCCACACGCCAGCCCCTCTGAGTTGCCCTTCTTGCCCGTAGGATTTGCTCGCTCCAGCATAAAGAGCGGTAAGGACGGGACGAATTACAGTAAGAAAGAGCGACGGATGCGGTTCTTCATCCGGAAGATGGTGAAGACGCAGGCCTTCTACTGGACCGTCCTCTGCCTGGTGGGCCTCAACACCATCTGCGTGGCCGTGGTGCATTACAACCAGCCAGAGTTTCTGTCCGACTTTCTCTGTGAGTAAACAAACAATAACTTTTCTCCAGCTATCACACTTTGGTCACAAAGCACACAGCTGCTTTTCTCAGCACTGCAACACTCAACGGTAATTCAGTCTTTAACTTGCGGTTTGAGATACTTTTCACTCTCATTGTGCTTTTATAGATTTTTTCTAACTTTTTGCTTACATCGTTTGCCTGATCTGGTGAATAATCCAGATTATTTACTGTTCAGTTGCGCTACGGTTTTGTTGGTACTGACATGCGAGACGCATTCAGCAGAATCACCTCGTTGTCTCTGGCTGCTATCCAACACCATTAGCATATGAAGCTGGAGTTCCTGGTGGAGTCCTTTTATCACTACGCTGTCATATACTCTTCCACTCACGCCACTATTGACTTCTACTCATATTAGTCTTTGTCGAATACTCATGCACGCTGCTTTCTGACTGTATTCATCCCAACCTCTGCTTTTATTTGCACTTTCTCTCCGTTTTCCTTACATTTGTCTCCGTCTGCTGCTGCCTCCACTCCCTGTTTGACCTTTTTTTCCTCCTTTTTCTACATTTGTTTTCCTTTCCTCGACAAAAATCACACCTTCCTCACTTCCTCTCCTGTTCTTCTCTCCTCCTTCAGTCTATGCAGAGTTCATCTTCCTCGGTTTGTTCATGTTTGAAATGCTGATCAAAATGTACGGCCTGGGCATCCAGCCCTACTTCCACTCCTCATTTAACTGCTTCGACTGTGTGGTGAGTACCCCGACGTACACATGCACACACGCGCACACACACACACACGCACACACACACTCACACCCCCACACACACACACATTCGCTTCTTGTAACGGCTTGTATCTTTTGAATGGATCAGGCTTAAGTTTGTTCATATTTAGCTCCAACCGGTGCTTCAAAACACGTCACCAGTGTGTTTTCAATCAAATGTAGCCTATTTTACTCGTCTTGCTTGTGAGTTTTGTATTTAAAAATAATAAAAAAATTGCAGGCTCTTTCAAGAAACACTAACCTACCCACTGTAAGGTGGCATATATTTGACACAACAGTGACTTAAATCTCACACCAATGAACCAAGAATGACGTCTCCTTCTCATTCTGTCCTGTTCTGCGCTGTTTGAGACTCACTCAGCACCGAATGATAAATGCTTGAACTGAAACAGTGAAACCCAACCCTCATATCGTTTCAGTTCACAAATATTTGACCGCCTGTAGGTCATTGAATGTTTATTGCTAGATGGTGAGTTGATCCTTAAATGTGGGATAAAAATAAAACCTCAACAGTAATCCAAATAAAATCCTGTCTGGTTTTATTTGTCATTGTATACTTAAGGGTCTACTTCCTAGTTAAGTCAGGTAATGAATGTTTTGTCACTTGAACATTTATTAACTTAATAAATAAGTAATACATTGTGTTTTATTTTATTTAATTCTGTATTTATGGGTGAACTGACTCTACTTTCTGAGTTTTTTTTAAATAATATTTTGCCACTTGGAGCGGTGAATTTTTATCAGTTCATGTTTACTATACAAATAAATAAAACAGTGCATAAATGTCACTGTGAAAGTACCATATTTAATCTTTTTGTACTTACTTTTTGCCATAGTTAAGAATCAACTTACTGTACTTTTCAATTAAATTGGCTAATATATATTTATATATATATATATATATATATATATATATATATATATATATATATATATATCACCATTTACTGTGCATTCCACTTATCCTGACGACTCAGAAACTTCAAAGACTTGACGAGATCGGCTACATTTTCTCACAGGAAGATGGCAACATGAATGGCAGGACAGGAAGTAGTGTGCTAGCTGGTTCAACGTTTCCTCTAAATGATATGGAAGCAAATATTGCAGCACAGACGACATGGAGGACCACCTTAACGCTTCAATGCTTTGATCTATGTTGCCAACTAGTAATTTACTGAACAGTCCTCATTTATTACAGTTAGAAACTATGCAAGAAAACAACAATAAATTAATATCTGTTTTTTTCTAAGCAGCTATTTTTAAGCACATCTAAAACTGAGAAATAAACTTGGTAGATTTTTATCGAATTCAACTAAAGCACATTTTTTCAGTTACCTGGTTGGTGGGCTTGCTTTGAGATTATAAAGTATTTATTAAGCGTATACACTATTATTCTCAAGTTGTTTTCCTGAAGTTGTATTTCTGGTTCATTTAAAACACAAATGGTCACTTGGAAAAACGCAACAAACAGAGACGTTTGGTTCTGCACAGCTGAAACGCTCCGGATTTATTTGCACCGTAGACGAGTAGAGACGATTTGCACTTCAGCGCAATTACATTCCTAAAATAACCAAAGTGGAGATGTATTGTTTGTATTTTCTCTCCGTGTGCGTGTGTGTGTGTATGTGTGTGTGTTTCCAGGTCATTGTCGGTAGCATCTTTGAGGTTGTGTGGGCCACCATAAAACCAGGCACATCATTTGGAATCAGTGTGTTGCGAGCTCTCAGGCTGCTGCGTATCTTCAAAGTAACCAAGTAAGTAAAGTAAAAATCCTTTATCTGGATTTCACTTTAATTCTTTTGTCTGTTCAACGCTTGTCAAATTCAGGCAAACTGAGAAAAATGCCTGAAATCTTAACGGCGGCATCAGGAAGCTTAATAGATCTGTTATCTGAGGCACTAAGGTTCAAACTTCGTAGATTGTTGCCGTAACATAAGCAGCATTTTTAAATTAGAGATCCAAAATCTACTAATCCGAAGGCAGGAGATCTCGAACGGATGTGAGCGGATGCTGTTCTGGTTTTGTGAATGTGGACAGACCTTGAGTTTACTCTCCCTGAAACTTTAGCTGTTATCGCCCGACGGTGAAGGTCACAGGAAGATTTAAGTCCCGAAATCCAAATGATCCCATATCAGGGACCCACAGGGACAGTAAGAGCAGGCAAAAACAAAAGCTAAATATATTCTAAGTATCAGAAGTAAAACTTGTTTGACTTAGGACACGGTAAAACTAAAAAAAAAAAAAAAAAAAAGAGGGGGCAAAAAAAAAAAGAGAACGGAGGTTGAAAAGGTAGGTTACAGAAACTCCTGGAGAGGCAACGCGATTAAGGCCAAAATATCATGGGAATATGTTTACAGGGCAGAGTGTTCCTCTTTTTCCTCTTTTTTTTTTCTTACAAAAGTTGTGTATAAATTGCTACACTGCAAAAATGTATTTAACCACAGAAATAAAAGCATCCTGTTCAGACTATTTTCCTCATGCATTTCGATTTCTTCTGTTTTTGTTGACAGATTTTTTTTTATTATTTTGTCTCTCATCTAACTTCTACTACTTCCTCAACTCTAAATTACCTGCAGCACTCTGACCTTCCTCTTCCTCTTCCTCAGGTACTGGGCGCCGCTGAGGAACCTGGTGGTTTCGCTGTTAAGCTCCATGAAGTCCATTGTCAGCTTGCTCTTCCTCCTCTTCCTCTTCATCGTGGTCTTTGCTTTGCTGGGGATGCAGCTCTTCGGAGGACAGTCAGTGTCGCTGCAAACTTTACGTCTTCATCTGTTTTGGGAGTTTTTATCACTGCTGTATTCAGAATCACTTCTTACTTCCCTCTCGTCAGATTCAACTTTGAAGCAGGAACTCCGCCTACCAATTTTGACACATTTGCAGCAGCAATCATGACGGTGTTTCAGGTAGGAAAAAGCAAGTTGTGACGTCCTTTTATTACACATAATCAGAAACATTTACGAATCGGTCAGAGATCAACTTAAAAAGTTACAAAGTAGAGAAAATACAACGCAGTTATTTTTGCCAAGATCGTCTCCGTAACTTTAACAAAGTCTTCCAAAGGTTCTCATAACCCGTTTTGCTATGCAACAGCCACACAGTTTAATGCATTTTTATTAAGATTTTACATAAAAATAGCAAACAATTTACTTTCCAGCAGCGCGACGACTTTAAAACACACAGCTTTTAAATGGAATGACTCGACTCAAAATCACACGAGCAGAAATCTGTCTCGGTCAGCCTGCACGTGCAGCTTAGTTTTCTTTCTCTCCTTCTTTATGTTATTGATGAAATGAAGTTTCCTCTCCTCCTTTCTCTTTAGATCCTGACAGGAGAGGACTGGAACATGGTGATGTATGACGGCATTGAGTCGCAGGGTGGAGTAAAGAACAAAGGAATGGTCTTCTCCATCTTCTTCATCGTCCTCACACTCTTCGGCAACTGTATCCTGCCCTCGCGCGCTTGAGCGCACACTTTCACCAGCGCTCCACGTGTTTAAACGCAAACGCGCCGAGCACATCAGACAGTTTGGTCACACGTGTAAGAAAGCTGCTAGTTTTGGTATTATGGCTTTTCATGTTAGTTTTATTAAAAAATGTGTCAGCTTGTCATTTATACAGTTTAAAAATGAATCAATTTAATGTTTTGAGAAGCTTACTCATATGTACATGTAGCATGTTCTGCTTTTAAACTTCATTTTGATTTCAGTTTGGTTTAGCAAACACAGAACTCCTCTGATGGAACCTAATTTTATATATATATATATATATATATATATATATATATATTTATTTATTTATTTATTTTTTTACCATGTTTCGTTTAATCCCTAGCTTTTTGAAAAGTAGCACCGATATTTCCATAACTCCCACCACAGACACGCTGCTGAACGTGTTCTTGGCCATCGCTGTTGACAATCTGGCCAACGCCCAGGAACTTACTAAGGTACACAGTCCCTCATGTAAAGTGTTACTTTGGATTCTTTTAATTTAGTTCATTTTTTCCAGCTTCACAAACAATTCCTCCATATTGTAGATCACATATTTATGCCAATGTGACAAACCTACTCAGAATTACCAAAACATGTCATCTTCTGACTCATTGTTTTGGTTTCATTTGTTAATTTTGAACAATCCTTCTCAACGTGTGATCACATCTAGTAATTTCAGATGTATGTCTTCAGGTTAATGTGTTTTGTTGTGTCATATATATTTGTGCGTTGCTCTCTGGAACAAGGTTTTGAAGTCTGAACCAGTATTTCTCTGACAGGACGAAGAAGAGCAGGAGGAGGCAGCCAATCAAAAGACGGCGCTGCAGAAGGCTAAGGAGGTGGCAGAGGTCAGCCCGCTGTCCGCTGCCAACCTGTCGATTGCTGCGTGAGTACACGCCTTCAGATGCAACTAATCACAGACTCAATGTGTGTAAAGGTGTTTGTAAAATTCAGTGTATATTTAGAATAATAGACATTTAATTTATTTCAGTAATTCAGTTAAAAAAACTGAAGCTTTTAATGACACACAATACATCAGCATTCATATGAGTATCAGCTGATATTAGTGATTTTTTTTCTTTTTTCAGTTTGACTTTCATCTTTTTGTCGTTTTTGTTTCTGGAGGGGCAGAGGGTTGGCCATGTGGTGTTTGGTCAGTGAGATAAGGACATAAATATAATACCAGTCAATATCGGTTATCGGCCACAACAGCAATATCAATATTGGATATCGGTATTGGCCCAAATTATCATATCAGTCTGTCCCTAATTGTCAGCATTTAATTCTGTTCATTCGATAAGTTAGAATATTATTGAGAAGCCCGTTTACTTCAGGAGCTTTCTCGCTTAGTGAAACACATTATTTAGATTAATTACACACAGACGGATGTTTGAAAGCCTTTATTTCTATTAATCACAATGAAAATTACATCAGACCAACAAAAAAAAAACACTTTTAAATACAGAAACTCCTGCCTCCACTTGCTGAGAAGCTCTAGGAGTTTTTTTTTTTCTTTTTCTTTTTTTTTAGCAGAATTTGGCACCTGCACACTTTACCACAAATAGCATTAGCAGGTTTGTTGACCTGTGATTGATTGCAGAACTGATCCAAATAGAGAATCTGGGAGATATTTTCAAGAAAACTTGAAACACTGCAGTTTGATCCCCTTACATGTCAACAACAAAAGTACTGAGTGAATTTACTGTGTAGTTTGAGCATGATGACATTTTTTTTTAAAATAAAAATATTTTTTAAGTGATCTTGTTTATTATTCATATTTTTGCAAGAAACTGAATTTTGGGCTTTTACCACTGAGAATGTTATAATAGATTATAACATTCTAAGAATATTATAATACTTTATAATATTCTTAGAATGTTATAATCTAAGAATCTAATAACATTCTAAGATTGTTATATGAATTAATTCCTTCACATTGACAAAGCTAAGGTCCCTTTTGTTACTCTTTTGCTAAATTATGCTGCACGTGCACAGAAAAGACATAAACCACGTGAACCGCTTGTCCTTTGCAGCTGCCTCCCATCATTAGTGATTGGCAGCAGGCATTCACAAACACGCAGCACACTCCCTCACACGCAAAGCGACACGCCGTCCTATAAAATATGATGAGGCAATTGTTCGCGGAGTGAAAAGAACAGATTCAGGGCTTTGTGGCGTATAGAAAAGCGGGAGGCGGACAGTCTAAACTGTTCCCTGCAGAAGAGAAACGCTGACATCAAAACGGAGCTCAAACAAACCGGCCGCCTCCTTCAAAGTCACTTTGGAGACTCTTCAGGCCCCTGTAGTTAGTTAGCCGAGGCTTTGACTGCAAGATTTCAAGCAGCTTCCTTCTTAAACATTCACAATCTGCTGCCGAGAGAAGATTAACACATTTTTACCTTGGGAAATTAGTTTTATATCGAGAATTAAGGTCACATTTTCGCATGCGGCATATTTCTACTGTGATTCTCCAAGCCTCTGAGATTTCCGGTAGGTTTTCAGCCATTTATTATGCAGGTTCTGTGCAGCACGTGAGCACATCTAGTTCAATCTTACCGCGCTTCACACACTTATTCATTACAACACTCATCTTCTAATTCAAATTTACCCCTGCATGTCTTCTGTCTCAAATATCTTGTGACTTTTGTTTTCCTCCTAACTTCCCCCTGGAACATTTTTATTTTTATTTTTTTTTGTTTACTTTATCCCAATCTCTGACAACAGGAAGGAGCAGCAGAAGAACCACACCAAGCCCAATAAGTCTGTGTGGGAACAGAGAACCAGCGAGATTCGGCGGCAGAACTTGATGACGAGTCGCGAGGCTCTCTACAACGAACTGGAACAGGAAGACTGGAAGGTGGGAGAAGGAGACGAGGTAAGAACCCCCCATTTCCCTCCGCCAGACGCAACTTCTGTTGATTTAAAGTGAAATTTCGAGTTTATTTTAACAACTTATCTTGGAATGTTTGGTTCTGACCTGGTTTTTAGCCACCGTTCATTCTGGGTCATGCTGGCTCCACAGATGTTTTAATTCCGGAGTGTAATATCCCTTTAAGCTTGTGAAAAACCGCTGCCATTGCGCTGCTATGTGGGACGACCCGAAGCTGCGTTATGAAAGTGGGCCGCGCTGAGGAAGCCCGAGAGCTGCACTCAAACGTGGCAGACAACTCAAAACTGGAGCGGGTCAGAAATGAATCCGAGGCGAGACGATCAGCTGGACATGGCTCAGCAAACTGCATGAAAACATGACGCGTTAAATTTAAGCTGCTTACGTGGAATATGAAAACGCCGCACTGTTTGCTGAAGTGTGCATCTCGACTGTAGAGTCGGTACAGAAAATATTCAGACCCCTTTTAATTTTTCACTCTTAAATTTCTGATATTTCAGTTTTTCTTTTTTAATAAATTTGAAAAAAAAATGTATACATCTCTGTTTTTTTCTGTCAAGATGGGATGTTGAGTGTACATTCATGAGAAATAATATGAACATTTTTATTTTAGCAAAAGGCTTCAATGAAACAGGGAAAAATTTTCAAGGGGTCTGAATACTTTCTGTACCTGCTGTATATTCTATTGTGCAACTTTAAAGGCCTGGTGTGAAGGATGGTGCGGTAATTTTAAGAAACAAGACTGTTGTGTTGGTCCAATAAGTTGACCAATAGATAAACCAAAAGGTTACACACTGATTGTTTGAGTAAGAATATCCTTAATGCCCAATTAATTACAAAAGAAGTTAAATACCTGAGAGAATGCTTTGAGCTGGATGTAATTTTGCACAATGGCAATAAATACAATCAATTTCCAAGGACTTGACATGGACACCGGATGGCACAAATGGTGGCATCATTAGTGAAGCTGAAGTGATACAGGCAGAGCATTCAGCAGACTAAAACAGCGAGTTAAAGTTTTCAATCCCAGTGGTTGTCTTGCAGACTCTTTAGATACCTTTAACACTTACTGTAGCTTAAAATCTGTTCCATTGTGGGTTTGCATGAGGCTGTTTGACATTCAGGTAACCTAGGAGGAAATAAGTCGCCCACATGATGTGATGATTCTGGTGACCCATGACCGAATGCACCGAGGGAAAACGATTGCATTACAAAACCCTATAAAGTCTAGCTGCACATATTTCAGTCTTTGTGACACCCTCTGCCATCCTTCTCAACGACCGCCGTCAGCCGCACTTCAGGTTCATCGATATAAATTTAAAAGCTATCATTCACACAAGAGCAGAGACAGAGCATTTGGAGGGTGTGCTCTACATATGTGGTGGCACCGCCGGGACAGGACCGATGCTGCTAATGATGCAGAGAGCCGTCACAAGGTGCGACTCCAGGGTTCCTCTGGTGGTTAGTTGTGGGACACTAACAGTAGAGGGTGTTACTGTGAGTCCTGCAACCACTTGAAATCTTTCTATGATCAGACGATTCGCCCAATCTTTCCTCAGTCCAGCATGTGTGGGATCAGCTCAGATATCATCTGCGACCCAGTGCTACTGCGCTAGATCTCAAAGGTCAATTGATGTCTAGTGCAATACATCTCAGTTGTACTAGTAGTAGTTGTAAGATGACTTGCTTGTTGTCCATTGATGTGATATTGTTGTCATTGCCGTCCAGTCACATGACTTGTTTCAAAAACCTCTCTACTCTTTAACCCCACTCAGGTGTCGTTCCCACGGAAAGCACGCGGCGATGTGAAAACGCACCTGGACAGACCGCTGGTGGTAAACCCGCAGGACAATCGCAACAACAACACCAACAAGACCCCACCCGGCGAGCTGCCGCTGGATCAGCAGTATCGGCGTCAGGATGTCGACCACCGCCGCCGCGCTGCTCACCACTGCCACTACCACCGCCATCACCACCAGAAATCCACCAACCCCGACGGCGTGGATGCAAGCCAGCTGATGGAAACCAACATGGGGCACGGTTTCAGCTGCACGTCTCTGGGTAACGTCGAAGGAAACGTGGAGCGCCACGGGGACGAAGAGAAGCACAGCCACCAGAGTCATCGGGGCCATCGGCACAGGAACAGAGAGTGCAGGGAGGCTCGCAGCGTCTCTCCCCGTCACGGCGAAGGCGCAGACGGCAACGGTGAGGCGAGGAGATGCAGGCAGCACCGCAGGGCAGCCAGGGAGGGGGATGAGGCCAGAAGACATCAATGCAAAGCAGCAGAGGGAGACGGAGAGAGAAGTGAGGAAGAGGGTGGACAGAAGACAAGACGACATCGGCACTGCAACCAGGAACGATGCCGAGGACATCGTGTCAGAAAGTAAGGAAAAGGAAGGATCTGTTTTTCATGTAGGAGGCAACATAACTTGATTTTGTCAAAGTGAGAGACGTGTCAAATTCAGTCCTTATGCCTGATGTCTTGCAGGTTGTTAGGGTTGTCCTGGTTCCAAACACCTGAAACCATTAAATGGTTACTTACTTCTGCAGAACCTCATGACATTTCCAGAAACACCTAACATATGCAAGACGCTGGTCCTTAAGGACTAGTAAAGGACTACTATGGTTTTATTAAAACCCTTACGATTTTTTATCTTTAGATACTTAAAAAATGATGAGAAAATGTTACCTTTATCACAGTTTTATGTCTTTTCTCTTCAAAGAGAACCTGTTATTCAAAATTCACTTTTTGCATGTTTTTGTTTTCCGTTTGGGTCTCAACTGCCTCTAAAAGCAGCCCAAGATATAAAAAAAGGAAAGAAAAAAAAAACACCCAGCAATTTTTGATAATAAGGTAATGCCATTTCAAAAACCTGGCCCGTCACCTAGCAACCCAACGTGCTCCAGTACATTTGGTCAGCTGGTTTTACCGCTGTATGAGCTGTTCAATGGAACACACGTGTTTTGTTGTTGACTTACCATCCAGAAATCACTTGCTGCGTTCTTGTTGGTTGTGCAGGAGGATTCGCTTCTGCTTTTCAAACATGAACGGTTGTATAATTGTGCATCTGTTTGCAGCCATTTTCACAATCAAGTGTAAACATCATCCAAGAATGATGGATATTCATAAAATTTTTTGTGCAAAACAAGGAGTATTTGCATAGCCCATTGACCTATCTGAACTTGTTCAACGATGAATAACAGATCACCTTTAATGATTCTATTTTCTTCTCATTTTTGCTCTATTCTCGTCTCTTTCTTTGCCGTGTCTGTTCCATCGCCCATGTCAGGGAGCATCACAGCACCTGCCCCAGCCTCTCAACTACTCGGCCCATACATCAGTACAACGAGGACCTCGACAACTTCCGCAACAACAGCAAGCTGGCCAGCGCCCAAGAGCACCCTTATGATCTCCCACCCGATCATCCGGACCACCTCAACAACCTGCTGAACTGCCATGACGCCGACACCCACACCCTGCTTCACAGCATGGACAGCCTGATCTTGACCAGCATGGCAAAGCCCGAGTACACAGCCATAGACATGCCCCCGGTCTACCCCTACCCCTCCACCAACGCAATCTTACAAGGTAATCGTCATGGGCGTGCAGCAAGGCGCATTAGAGTTTAAAATAAAAACATATTTTAAGCTTGAAATCCTGTTGTTTTTATGTTTAAGACTCTTATTGTGAAGTAAGGAAGGAAGAAGTTCTTGAATTGCACTGTGGCATTGATAGAGTTGGCTAGAAAAAGACTTTTTGTTGGACTGTAAAACAAAACTCTATTACAAAATCCTTGAAGAGGCCGCTTCAGCTTTTAATTTGTTTTTCTGGCTGCATTTTGCATAATCAGTAGAAGAAAATAACGGCAGGTTATGTACAAGTCATTTGGGAGTGTTGTGAGAATACAGTTAGCAGTTAGCCAGTAGCAACCAAAAAGTTAGCATGAGCTTTGGAGCTACTTAAAGGATTTAAAAAAAAAAAAAAGCCCCATAAAATTCAAAAAGCCCTAAAACATGCTATTTAAAAACCTAGAGTGAAATATTCTACATTTATCACAGATTCTTTAGTGCATTTTTGCACAGAAAAATGCAAAAAAAAAAAAAAAAAATCAGATTTTTTTTTAAATCTGGGAAATCTTTTGCATTTTTATGATTTTAAAGAATAACAGATTCTTTAAAATCTGTGATTCTTTTGTGATTTGTGAGACCTTTGTTTAAGATAACCAAAACTAATTGGGAATTCTTAGATGTCACAAAATAATTTCTAACTTTTGTGTTTTGCCTCTTAACCCTCAAATCGCTTACATGTTAATGATAGGTCCATGACATTTAAGGCATTTGTAAATCCAGTATTATGAATTCTCCAGTCTCAGGAGCTAAATTTAGTATCACACCCCAAGAATCACATCAAAGAATCTGAACAAACCTGACTTTCCTGCATACGCATGGTCATACAGGCAAGTCAAATTTCTCATTCCACTTCAGAATATTCACCAATCCAGTTTGACCAACACTGTTATTCCCCCTCATGTACTTTCTGTTCCTTAAATCAATGCTGGTGTTGCATATATTGTGATAGTCTGACCCCCTTCTGTCAGCCTGCCACTTATTTACCTCCTCTGCTTACTTTCATCTCTGTGCTCAGTGAACAAGAACGCCAACACTGACCAGAAGAAGAGCGAGGAGAAGAAGGAGGAGGAGGACGAGGGTGAAGATGAAGACGGCCCCAAGCGCATGCCTCCTTATAGTTCCTGCTTCATAATGTCTACCACCAATCCGTGCGTAGCTTTCTACTGAATCTAACTCAAAATCGCAGTGTTGTGCTGTGCAACGCTCGGCATCGAAATGCCCTTTTGGCATAGATTTTTTTAAAAACGTTCAAATGTTGTGCGAACCGTTTTGCGCCAACACGTGCGCGCATTTGTGTGTTTGCATCAGGTTTCGAAAGTGCTGTCACTACATCCTGACTCTGAAGTACTTTGAGTTCAGCATCCTGTCCGTCATTGCTATGAGCAGCATCGCCCTTGCAGCAGAGGACCCTGTCAAGCCCGACTCGCCACGAAACAACGTGAGTCTTTCATGTGTTAGCGCCGTCCTTGTCACCTTCCAGTGTGTTCGTGTCCACATCGTTCTGTCGATAAAACACACACAAAAAAAAGTCTTCCAAAGTCCAACATTTATTTGCTTACTTAAAAGATGTCAACCTTTCTAGCAAAGCAGCGTTTTTCTAGTGACATTGGAGCCTGATGCAAAAATAGAGAAATGTGCAACGCACCAATGCAAATGGAAAACTTTCCTTGCCTAAACATTTATGAGATTAAAATAGAGAATCAGTAGTTGGAAACATATTTAGGATATTATTTACTCACTTCTTTCCTGTCCTTCAGGAGTATCCTCTCTCTGTTTCAATTAGATTTACAAGGTCAATTATGCAGATTAGAAAAAAATGACAATTAAAATAGCCAATAGCTAATTACCACAGTAGTCTACAAGAGACCAACTTAAATATGGGTTGGCAAATTTTACAGTGTTTAAACTTAAGTCCTGAGTTCATAAAGCAGAAGAACAATTTAGTTGTTTTAACCCGAATTTATCAAAATATTTGGTAGTTTATTAATACAGCACAGTTCAAAGTGCTTTAAATCATAAAAACACAAAAACAAAACATCGTAAAAACAACATACAGTCAGTCACCAATTGAGAAACCAGCAACAAACATTACATTTTGATCGAGTCCCATCATCAAATATGTTGGTTAATGTTCCATTTATTATGGTTGAAAAGTGACTCTAACCAGGCGTGGTTTCAGCCTTGATGTAAAGGAACTCAGTGTTTCAGCTGTTTAGCTGTTTTCTGGAAGTTTATTCCAGATTTGTGGTGCAGAAAATAGAGAAATCTGTTAAAGCTCTTCCTCAAACTGCTCAGTATGGAAACGTCCCATGCAGGAGCAGGGTTGAGCTCTGCTGTTGTATCTTATGTTTGGTTAAAATAATAAAAAGAAAAGTTAAATCGATGTTGTAGGTTATGCTTAAATATATATATATTTAAATATATATATATATATATATATATATATATATATATATATATATATATATTTTTTTTTTTTTTATTTTTATTTTTTTTTATGCTCGGCACGGGGGGATAGACAAAAACATGGGCCCCGATT